AACAAGCATTAAATTTTTAGAAAGGTTTTCAGAAAGAACAGCATTAGTCCAATTTAAGATAAAACAAAAAAAAGGTATAATTTGATTTATTTGTTGTGCCAGCAGACATTACCAAGCCCCTTACTACTCTTTGCCATGATTCCCATTTTATGGAAGAAGCCTATGTGGCTTAAAGAGGGAAGGAGAATAAAAGAACCAGGGTCTGCACTATATTTTCTAACACTAAATCCAGTGTTGTCCATCAAATCACAGTTATCCATATGCTATAGAACAGCATTTCAGTTGTTAAATTCTCATCTTCTCCAGAACTGGGACATGCCTTATTTGTGTCTGGGTCTCCAGTGCCTCTTACAGGGCCTAGCTCTTGGTATGCAGTCAGCGATTGTGTCATGACTGGGCTCATGAATGACTGAATGAAAAGACAAGTACTACCTTTTATTTTTTTTTAAAGGCTTCCTTCACCCAGCTGAGAGGTTTCTCTCCATGGAAGCTATATTTTCCCCCAAAATAAACCTGAAGTAGATCAAAAGGCTTTTTTTTTTATTCCTACTCTTCTCACAAAGTGAAAAAAGTTCCTTTGTTACTTAAAATATCTGCGCCAGATCGTACAATGCTGTCTCTGAGCACAAGTGCTTATTATTGTGGCTAATTTGGTCACATGTGTTTGAAGGAGAACAATGCCTCAGAAATTTTTAAAAGCAAAACAGCAATCTTAAGCATTTGTTGTAATGAGATGTAAATTGCCAACATCAGTAGTAGAGCCGACTAAAATTTGCAATGAAGTGTTTTTCTCCCCCTCTTAAATTAAAAGCACTAGAGGCCCTCCCTCCTTCTCCCCAAAGAAACCACGTGCTTTTTTGTTCCTTTTCTTTCTGATTCTGTAATACTAAACACTCCGCTCTCCTGATTCATTCCTTCATTTATCTGCCATTTCCGAGCCTGTGTCTGAGCATTTGTTCTATGCCTGTCTCAGTGCCAGCCTCTTCCAGAGGCGGCATCAGCCTGCACGGTGGCTCTTTGGTAATCCCCATTTTGCAGGTAGGAAGATGGAGGCACAGAGAAGTGAGGTGACTTGTCTAAGGTCATGCAGCTGGGATTCACACTCAGGTCTCCTGACAAATGGCTTGCAAGATGTGCCTTTAGCTGGTCTTCCTTCCTTGCTGGGCCTCAGGCACCAGGTGCCTTCTGTATACAGTGCTGGAGAAGGAGGCAGTTGAACATCTGGCAGCCACAGGGTGTTGAAACAGTGTTCACCGAGAGACTATTAGGAATAGTTCTCTTTGAGAGCCAGGAGATCCCAGTACAATAACCTCGAATTTGACAAAGTTCCATCAGTCCCTGAGCACAGGGGAGCAAGGGTGTGCCATGGAGTGCAAGGTCCTGCTCTGAGCTGGGCCTCTGCTGGGCACATGGGGTGAAAGAAGACCAGCAGGGCCCCTGGCTCACAGAAGCTACAGCTTAGTAGTGGACTAACTTGAGCCCCCAAGTAGAACACGTGAGTGGGGGAGCCATTGGGGGGGTGAGCTACCATTTACTGAGCTAGATTCTGGATTAATCACTTCGCATATATGGTTAACTCATTTACTCTTCAGTCTCACCAAGTCGCTGTTGTCATTCCTCCTTTCAGGTGAGGCGACAGGGTCAGGAAGGTTAAGTGATTATTGATGTGTAAAATACTTGTTGAGGATAGAATTTGAACCAGGCCCTGTGCTGAGCCCTGGACTCTGACATATAAAGACGCAGCCCATGCCTGTCCTCAGGCCTCACCATCTAGTCGGGAGACAGGCATAGAAACAAATGAGTGCATCTGATTATCCTGGGGTGGTGGGGAGGAAGGAGGAGGGAGCTCAGCTACCTGAGGAAGCTCACAACTCACCTAAACAGCAAATGGCAAATCCAGAGTTTAAACTCTAGTCCAACTTCAAATTCCAAACCCAAGCGTGGAGAGAATTACTTACCTCCGTTTGAAGGGCTGGGGCAGCTGCATGGAGGAGGTGTCATTTGATTCAGGCCTTGAATCCCTCCTTGTCAGAGTTTGAATAGGCGGACATCATTGGGAATAGGATGATCTGGAGAGGAAACAGCACAAGCAAAGACTGGGAGGCAGGCAAGAAAGGTGTAAGGCAGAGAGGGATGGGCAAGACACTTCAGAATAGAGTCTGACTATGGGGAGGGGCCCAGCCAGGGGGCGGAGCCTTGCTCATTCTGGTGTCCCTTAGGTGGCCCTCCACAGCCATCTGAATCTTCCATTCTCCTGGCTAAATGTTTCCAGTTTCTATTTAACAACCTTAATTTCCAGTTTAGGGGCTACAGAAAAGGTTACAAATATTTGAGAACAGTTGCCCACCCACCCCTACCTCCATCCTGAAGCACTTCAACTCAGCAATAGGCGTTATTTCAGAATCTCTGCCTCAGCCCATGTAAGTCTCTTCCTCCCCCACAACTCTCTCCCCTCTCTCATGTCATGACATTTACTGAGAGCCTGCAATGTGCCAGGCACTGTTTTAGGTGCCAAAATGACAAAGAGATAACAACTTTGCCCTTGAAATGCTTCACAGTCTAATGTGGACAGCAAACAGATTGGCATATGACTACAAACATAATTTTCTGGAGTTTGAGACCAGAAATGTAGAGACCTCATACCTGGTAGTGATCAGAGCAAGGCCTCACAAAGGAGACACCTGCGCTTCGCTCTGAAGTCTGACCAGGGGCTTGGCAGGCAGATGAGGGGGCATTTAAGGCCAAGACAATAGTATATCCAAAGGCACAGAGCCCTGGGTCAACACCACACATGGGGGACCTGAGCAAAGGTATGGGGAAAAGCGTGTAGTGAGCACCAGAGGTAGAGAGGAGGCTGGTTGTTCTGGGTCTTAAGGAGGCTGTGGTGTGTGATTTAATTTTGAGGGTAATGGGGAGCCTAAGCAAGGAAAGACATAGTCGTGTGAAGATCTCTTTGGCAGCCATTGTGGAGCTGGATGGTGGAGAACCAGACCGAAGTCAGAACTGAACTGGATTCATTCTCTTTGTCTCACATCTGCCTCTCATAGAAGGAAAAGGCTTTAGAGAAAGGACACGATCTGATCTTCCGAAGATGACTCATGAGCCACGGGCTGCGTGGACCTCCTCCTCTCAGCCCATTTCTTTTTCCTGTCTCTGAATGTTAGAGCAGGAAGAGACCCCAGAGGCCAACTAAGCCAAGCCCTTTAGGGGAAACTGAAGTAATTACTTTTTCCCTGATTTAAGGAAAGATCAAATGCTCCACTTGAGTTTGTATCTCAGAAATTCAATCTAATAATTCAGAGAGAGGAAAAACTTTGGCATCTGCTTCTGAAACTTTAGAATTACTAATTCATTGTTGTCATTCTTTTATTCATTTAGCAAACATTCAGAGAGCACCTACCCCATGCCAGCTGCAGGGGACAAAGAAAAGAATAAGACTTAGGCCCAGCCCCTGAATAGGTAACAGCTCTTGGGAGATGCGATCAGAATGATTATGATGCTATCAGTCCTTCAGTCTGCCAGCTTCTGCATCTGCAATTCACTTCCTGCAGATGCACAATTAAAACACAGCAGAGCCAGGAATGGTATCTAAACTCACTCTATCAAGATGAACCAAGCTTTTTCATCTGCATTGTTCTGCTCCTCAGCCATCTTGCATTCAGCTTTGTGCAACGCCCGTACTTGAATTGTGGAGACTGCAGAGATTCTGTCTTGCAAATGGCAGCTGCCAGCAACTCAGGAATGATGTTCTGGGAAGCCTTGTCATGAGGAATTTTAGTAACAAAATCACCGATACCTTCCCTGTGACCAGCCAAAGTCTAGGCTGTGGCGATTGAATATAGAACTGCATCCAGATTTTTTTTTTGCCTTTTTATTATTGTTATTTTTTATTATGGTGGCATTGGTTAACAAAATCCAGTTAGTTTCAGGTGTACAATTTAACAATAAGATACATACACACACACAGACACACACATCCAGATTGTTGATGAGATCTTTAGTATATGAAGAGCCCTGTACCAAGTTGTCCACATGGTGAGGGTAAGAGAAGGTTGAACCATGAAATTTATCAGTTACTTAAGTTATATGCACAGCTGTGGGGGACTTGCCATGGCAGTAGCTAAATCTCTGATCCCAGAAAACTGAAATGTTTGCACAGGGAGAATTTCCAGGATGCTAAACTCTCCATTGGCCTTTGGAGTTGCTCTCCTACAAAAGTTAATTAAATCATTTGGCCTTATTTACTTACTTTCATCCTGTTTCTCTGCCCCTTGGTCATCAAGACACCATAGATGATTTAAAAAATAGTCCATTATTTTTACAAGCTAATAGAGGAAAAGATATCCCCCATAGAAACCACCACCATTTATCCAGCTTCCTTTCACTGTTTAATCTGCACATAATTTGTGTTGATTGCATTAAAATAAAAATCAGAGTAGCTGCTGGATCAGGCAGTCAGGGGTCTAATCTGTATTGTATTTTAATTTCTTGGTTGAAATGCTCCTGTCTAGATACTAGGTCTTGGGGAAGTGGAGACCTTTGCGTTTTGCCCCACCTCCCACCCCACTGTTTTTTCCTAACCTCTGTTCATCCGCCGTGGCCTATTCCACTACAGGCTGAAGAGATGGGGATTTTGGCAAATACACAATTTGCATATTGCGGTAATTGCAACCCCTTCTCCACCCGGTCTTAATGGGACCTCTTTCCTGTGCAGAAGTTGAGTCCCCTACATTTCCATTCAGTGACACCCCAAAAGAGTGCTTCTCATTCATGCTTAATTAGAGTCTAATCCATTCTTCCAATTTTCCAACTTTTTGCTTGTGACGTTCATATCTCATATTATTTTCAAGCCTGGGTTTAAGTGTAGTCCAATGGACAAAAATAAGCCAGCATAATTTTTTTTTTTTTGTACCACTATGTGCTGATAGATGCATAGTTAAAAATATTTGCATTTTATTTTCCTTGGAGTTCTAGACAGATCTCTTTTCTTAACTGCCTAGGTCCCGCCATTGACTTGGAAAAAGTAAAGTCAGAATGTCTCGAGCCCGAGCCGGAGTTACGGAGCACTTTCAGTGAGGAAGCAAATACGTCGTCCTATTACCCCGCTCCTGCACCTGTCATGGACAAGTATATCCTAGACAATGGCAAGGTAGTGTTTCAAGCTCAATATCGATTCCCTGCAAGTGTTTGTCAGTCAGAATAAAGATGAAGCGTATGGTGGGGCTTCCCGAGGCATAGCTCAACTGGTTGGCCTCCTGGCCCAGCCCTAAATAGCTATTTCCTGAATTCTTGTATTTTAACTAGTGGACCTTTACTGGGACTTTTTCATTTTCTCTTCCTTTTTTTGAAGAAAAAAATGTTGGGCCAAAACAACTGTAAAATTAAACTGACGTTTTAAAATCGCTTATTAGTGAGAAAGATTTTAAAAAATGGTAGTTGATGAAAACTGTCCTACTCTTCTATGAAACTAGATGCATAAAATTTATAAGGTGAAGTAGAAATGAAATTTCTGATATATATCAGTATAT